TGTGGGGTCCAACCCATAAATTAAGGAAGACAACTTTCTTCCTTTGTCTTCTTTTTCTAAATTGGCAGCCACTTTTCCTTTTGCATAGTCAACATTGTAGGCTGTGTCAAATGTGGTAGGCATGCCGAAAGAAAATGTCAAGTATAGTAGGCGAGGTTCTGCCTATAAAAGGAGAGCTTCGGCTCTCATTTTTGACACATCAATCTCAGAGAAAAAATATATCTGAGAGTTAGAAAGAAAGAGTGAGGTTTCACAGACAGTGTATAAGAAAATAGTTTGTGAGAAAAATAGAGAGTAAGTGATATTGTAGTGAGGTGGGAATATCAAAAGAGGGTTATTTCTTTTGAGTGTTGTAGTGGTCTTTTGAGTATTTTACTCGGACCTACAAAGTGTAAAATTCCTTTTGCTATAGTGATATCAATTGCTCTTCTCAGGGCCGTGGGTTTTTCCCTTATACAAAAAGGTTTTCTACGTAAAAATCTTGGTGTCGTTGTTACTCTTTTATTCTTGTTAATTACCGTATCTCGGTGCTACGTTATTCTTCCGCTTTTATTACCGTGAATATTATTTTTGTAGGAGGTTTATTCCCAACAACTGGTATCAGAGCACAGGTTCTGCTCGTTTTCTGAAATACTATTCATTGTCGGTAGTACTATACTCGGTGAAAAATAAAAATGTCCGGAGTAAAGTACGAGGTAGCAAAATTCAACGGAGATAACGGTTTCTCAACATGGCAAAGAAGGATGAGGGATTTGTTCATCCAACAAGGATTACACAAGGTACTAGATGTCGATGCCAAAAAGCCTGATACCATGAAAGCTGAGGATTGGGCTGACTTGGATGAAAGAGCTGCTAGTGCAATCAGGTTTCACTTATCAGATGATGTGGTAAATAACATCATTGATGAAGACACTGCACATGGAATTTGGACAAGGTTGGAAAGCCTATACATGTCCAAAACGCTGAAAAATAAATTGTACCTGAAGAAGCAGTTATATGCCCCACATATGGGTAAAGGTACGAATTTTTTGTCACATTTAAATGTGTTTAACGGACTAATCACACAGCTTGCCAACCTCGGAGTGAAAATCGAGGAAGAAGATAAAGCGATCTTGCTATTGAACTCGTTGTCATCTTCGTATGATAATTTGGCAACAACCATCCTGCACGGTAAGACTACTATTGAGTTGAAAGATGTCACATCGGTTCTTCTACTCAATGAGAAGATGAGAAAGAAGTCTGAAAATCAAGGATAGGCTCTCATCACAGAAGGTAGAGGCAGGAGTTATCAAAAGAGTTCGGGCAACTATGGTAGATCCGGAGCTCGTGGGAAGTCAAAGAACCGATCCAAATCAAGAGCCAGAAATTGCTACAACTGTGATCAACCAGGTCACTTCAAAAGAGATTGCCCAAATCCAAGGAAGGGCAAAGGTGAAACCAGTGGCCAGAAGAATGACGACAACATAGTCACCATGGTGCAAAACAATGATAATGTTGTCCTCTTTATAAATGAGGAAGAGAAATGCATGCACCTGTCAGGTCTAGATTCAGAATGGGTGGTTGACACAGCGGCATCTTACCATGCCACACCGATAAGAGATCTTTTTTGCAGATATGTAGCAGGTGATTTTGGCACAGTGAGAATGGGTAACACAAGTTACTCAAAGATTGTGGGGATTGGTGACATTTGTATCAAGACAAATGTCGGATGCACATTGGTTCTAAAGGATGTGCGGCATGTACCTGATTTGCGGATGAACTTGATCTCGGGAATTGCTTTAGACCGAGATGGATATGAGAACTATTTTGCAAATCAAAAGTGTAGACTCGCTAAGGGATCATTGGTGATTTCAAAGGGAGTTGCTCGTGGCACATTGTACAGGAAAAATGCAAAAATATGCCAAGGTGAATTAAACGCGGCACAAGATGAGATTACTGCAGATTTGTGGCACAAAAGAATGGGTCATATGAGTGAGAAGGGATTGCAAATTCTTGTCAAGAAATTACCTATTTCTTATGCCAAAGGTACAACGGCAAAACCTTGTGACTACTGTTTATTTGGTAAGTAGCATAGAGTCTCATTTCAGACATCGTCTGAAAGAAAATTGAATATACTTGATTTAGTATATTCGGATATTTGTGGCCCAATGGAAATTGAATTAATGGGCAGTAACAAATATTTTGTTACTTTTATTGATGATACTTCACGAAAATTATGGGTTTATATTTTGAAAACCAAAGATCAGGTGTTTCAAGTTTTCCAAAAGTTTCATGTTCTAGTAGAAAGGGAGACGAGTTGAAAGCTAAAGCGTCTCCGAAGTGAAAATGGAGGTGAGTACACTTCAAGGGAATTTGAAGAGTACTATTCAAGTCATGGGATCAGACATGAAAAGACAAGGAACCCCACAACACAATGGCGTAGCCGAGATAATGAACCGCACCATTGTGGAGAAGGTGAGAAGCATGCTCAGAATGGCTAAACTGCCTAAGTCATTCTGGGGTGAAGCAGTTCAGACAGCCTGTTACCTGATCAATAGGAGTCCATCAGTTTTGTTGGCATTTGACATCCCAGAGAGAGTTTGGACCAACAAGGAGGTGTCCTACTCGCATCTGAAGGTGTTCGGTTGCAGAATTTTTGCACATATACCAAAAGAGCAGAGAACAAAGCTGGATGATAAATCTGTTCCTGGCATATTTATCTGATATGGAGATGAAGAGTTCGGGTACAGATTATGGGATCCTGTAAAGAAGAAGGTCATCAGAATCAGAGATGTAGTCTTCCGATAAAGTGAAGTTGGAACTGCTGCTGATATGTCAGAAAAGGCGAAGAATGGTATAATTCCTAACCTTGTTACTTTACCTTCTACTTCTAACAATCCCACAAGTGCAGAAAGTACGAACGACGAGGTTACCAAGCAGGGGGAGCAACTTGGTGAGGTTATTGAGCAGGGGGAACAACTTGATGAAGGTGTCGAGGAAGTGGAGCACCCCACTCAGGAAGAAGAACAACCTCAACCT